CAGCTCTGATTGCCGTTTCCCCTGGAAAGTGAAGTCCCTTTTACAGCTGTGCAGGGAGCCCCTGTGAACGTGTGTGCTCAAAGAGAGGGCTTCCTGAGAGCTGGGCCTGGGGACACTCACACAGAAGCTGTATCCAGCCACTGTCCCTCCAGTGGCAACTGATGTGGACCCGCATGGACAGCACAGGGATGAGGGTGTCCGTGGCTGCCTGCCCTGTGTGACAAGGGCCTTCCTCTTCCTAAAGTCTCCAACCCACGCAGGAGTTACCACAGCCCAGGAGTCATTGAGGTGTCCCTTGTTTTACTGCCTTTACCTGGACATTGGGAACCCAGCTTGTGCTTGTGAGAAGTGGGTGAGTGCTGTTCTTGTGAACAGCTGAAAGAGCTTTGGACCGTGTGCTGAAATCCGCAGTGAACTCATGCACAGTGAGGCAATATTAAAACCAGGTCTTTCTTGGAGGGCTTGCCTCTTCCACCTTCCAGAAGTGACTCAAACATGCAATCCCAGAGCTTGGAAGGCTGGATTGAGGTAGAAGGGTTGCTACAGCAGGCTTGAGACCAGCTCAATCTACATACCAAGACCCTGTCTTTAAAACAAAGGTTGGGCATGATGACACACACTTTGATCCCAGGCAGAGGCAGGCAGATCTCTGAGTTCCAGGCCAGCTGGTCTATAGAGTGAGTTTCAGGACAGCCAAGAGTACACAGAGAAACCCTGTCTCAAAAGACCAAAACCAAAACAAAAAGGAGGGGGGGGGCTCAAAACTGACTGAGCAGCTCTTGTACTAGAGGAAGCAGTGACTGGGCTCATGGTTTCCACTCCTCATCCCCGATCATAGGAAGCTGTGTATGTGTGTGTAAGAATTTACCTAAAGTTCCCAAGGACACTGGTCCCCTCTTGCAGATCTGAAAAGGAGGGAGCCGGCTGCAGCCTCGCCTCTGTCCCTGCAGCCCCTCACAACTGTAGGAGTCCATCCTCCTACACAAAATAAGGTCAGTTGCCTATAATAAGGACTTGAGGGATCCAAAGGCTGTTAATTCTTTTTCTCTCCCTTTTGCTTCATTAGTTCTGACACCAGGGTTCTGTGGCAGTGTTTCTCTATATAAAGAATTAACGAAAGCTTGCCTGGTTTTTCCAACGTGCTTTAGGTTGTAAATTTGTTTAGCTTTTTATAAAACCATCCATGGAGGCTGTTGGCACCTTAATATTTCAATAGTAAAAAAAAAAAAAACCAGGGGCATGATAGTATGTGTATATGTGCATATGTGTGTACATATGTATGAATGCGCATGTGGATGCCAGAGGTCGATGTCTAGTGTCATCTTCTATTTCTCTACCTTGTTTGTTTAGTTTTAATGTAAGGTTTCTCTGTGTAGCTCTGGCTGTCCTGAAACTCACTCTGTAGACTAGGCTGGTCTCGAACTCACAGAGATCTGCCTGCCTCTGCCTCTGCCTCTGGAGTGCTGGGATTACAGGCCTATGCCACCATGCCTGGCTCCACCTTATTTGTTGAGACAGAGTCTCTCACTGAGCCTGGTGCTCACCATTTCAGTTAGACTGGCTGTCAGCCAGCCCGCTCCTGAGATCCACTTGTCTCGAGTTTACCAGAGCTGGGGTTTTAGGTATATGCTACCACATGTGACCTTTTTAAAACTTTATTTTATGTGCATTGGTGTAAGGGTGTCAGATCCCCTGGAACTGGAGTTGCAGACAGTTGTGAGCCACCATGTAGGTACTGGAATTGCACCCAGTTCCCCTGGAAGAGCAGCCAGTGCTCTTAACCACTGAGCTATCTCTGCAGCCCCATATCTGACCTTTTATGTGTATCCTGAGGAATTCAAACTTGGCCCCCATGTTTGGGCAGCAAATTTTTGATTCTGAGGAAAGGTGCCATTTGCCAGGACCTGCTCTCCTTCTTATAAGTCAGGATGCAGGGTGAAAGCTCATCCCATCAGTCCATCCTCTGACCACAGAGACACTGAACCCTCAGGATGCCTGGGAGGAGGGTCTCTGACAAGGGGAGGCCTTCTTTTGTCTCCCTTCACCGTGAAGTAGACTTGAGTTTTAAATCTAAAGGCATAGTGTGTGTGTGTGTGTGTGTGTGTGTGTGTGTGTGTGTGTGTGTGTGT